GTCCATTGGGATTTATGTTTCTCTCTTGTCAAATTTCATCTGACTGATTTTGGACCCTCATAGAGCCAAAGATACTTTTGGATCTCAGTTCTGTCATTTGCTGTAATATATCTTCATTTCACATCACTAATAATGCTGATTAGGGGACGGCTAGTGACAGAGTCCTTGAGAGGCCCCTGTCTCCCTTCGTCTGGGTCCCTCAACCATTAATCAACACTGCTGGTTTGAGATCTTATGACAGTGGACTGACTACAGATCTATTCAACTGTACTTTCGTCTATGACTTCTAGATGCACTCTATGTGTGTGTGGCACTTGCCTTGTGTCCCATGGACTTGTTTGGGGATTATGAGTTATGGGATTAAGGCAGAAGGAAACCCATCCATCTTGTGGGCTTGGGGCTGGATGAACTGGAAGCGAAGAGAAGCTGGACCACACCATCACTTGGTCATACCTGGTCATTCCTTGGAAGGAACAGGATATTTTATTGCTATGGATTCTTCACTAATCCATTTAGTGAAAATGAGGGTCATGCACTAGGCATGCCATTTGGATGGGCAGCTAGGAGCAGGTACAAACACCTGGACAGAGAGCTTCTAAAAGAAAATTTCTGACCAAGAGAGGCAGATTCTCTGAGACACTGCTTTCTCCCAGAGAGTACTGGGGAGTTTAGAAGGAAAAAGTTTCTTAACATAAACTTTTATACTTCAAGAAAATTACCGTTAATTTCTGGAATAAATAAACAACGATGCAGGTTATATTTTTGCCAGTAAATACTTTAACTTTCCTAAGGAAGTGGCATTTGCATACACCTTTTAAAAAGACCCCCCCAGCTACTTGGAAGAAACTCAGGCTGCAACTGAGGACTTCTGCTGTCAAGGGTGCAAGCTTGCCATCTAGTGGTGGCTCCTGCAAACTGGAGGTAGTTGAGCTCAGTAAGACCGTTTTCATGGTTTTGGGTGTTTTTAAAAAAACAACGAGTTCTTTTTAGTTATATATTTTCATCACATGCAAACACACATGCACGCACGCACACGGGTGCACGCACACACACACACACACACAGACACTGGTTCTGTGCATAAGTGCAGTTGGGGAGACACTGCACTTTCTCTCCCCATTCAGTGACGTTTAGACTGAGGCCCAGGTGCCTCATGTAATGAATGAGGAATGGCCTGGACCTGTCATGTTGGATCTGTCCTCTAGTCTGTGAAGAAGTGTAATTCATTCACTCATTCTTTCATCTCATTCACCCTCTCATCCCACTGATCACTCATCAGTATGGTCATTAAGCTCCAGGCCTGACAAAGAAAAAGAACCACAGAGCTCAATGGCATGATTAACTTGTGGCAACAAAAACCAAAGCAAAATGAAACAAAAACTTAGTAACGATACAATAATAAAATTATAGGAGGTATTTATATTGGATCAATTCCCAGTTTTCACCCCAAATGTGGCTGGAAACATCACTGTAAATCAAATCGTGTTTTCTCATTAAAAGTCTTTGATCTGATCAATACTTACACTTGAATAGATCAATATAGGTTCTTAAGGCTCAGCTACATTTTTATAGAGTTCTATAGGAATTAAAAATAAAAAAATTTGAAAGTTCTCTCTCTCTCTCTCTATATATAATACTACATAAAATGAAATCTACAGCTGAATTAGGCATTTAAAAAGAATATTTTGGGGCACCTGGATGGCTCAGTCGGTTAAGTGTCTGACTTCGGCTCAAGTCATGCTCTTGTGGTTCACGGGTTCGGGCCCCACGGCGGGCTCTGTGCGGACAGCTCAGAGTCTGAAGCCTGCTTCGGATTCTGTGTCTCCCTCTCTCTCTGCCCCTCCCCTGCTTGTACTCTGTCTGTCTCTCTCAAAAATAAATAAAACATTAAAAAAATTTTAAGTAATATTTTGCTATTTATAACAGCCATTAAACACTTAACTAGCGAAAACTTGTTAGCAGTCCAACAATTTAGGCTTTTTTGTGGTCTCTTAATAAAAGAGTAATGCAGGGGCGCCTGGGTGGCTCAGTCAGTTAAACATCCGACTTCAGCTCAGGTCATGATCTCGCAGTTTGTGAGTTCCAGCCCCACGTCAGGCTCTGTGGTGACAGCTCAGAACCTGGAGCCTGCTTCGGATTCTGTTTCTCCCTTTCTCTCTGCCCCTCCCCAAGCTCATGCCCTGTCTCTCTCTGTCTCTCAGTAATAAATTAATGTAAAACAAAAAATTAAAAAAAAGAGTAATGCAAAGAGTGTGGTGAGGTCTTTTTATGTATTTGGTGAATTTATTTATTTGGTAGTAAGAAAATAGATTCAAAATCTTTACATTAAATTTGTCATAGCATTTTTCAAATAGTCTATAGCTCTAAATTTGCCAGGAGACAGCAAATCCAGGCATGGGTAAGTAGTAAAATTTTTAAAACAATGTCAAAAAGATGCAAGATGATTTTTACAACATACGATTTATTGTGAAGCGGTTTTATTCTTAGGAATAAGTTGATTTTTATTACAAATAAATGGAGAATAAAAATGAAGGAAGTTAATGTTATCGGTTTATCTTCATAAAATCCCCTTAAAGGAGGCTCAAAGGAGTTAAGAAACTTGTTCAAGGTCATAGGACTAGGCAGTGGAATTCTGAGTAAAGCACTTGGTTTTGAACTTTGGTCCATCTGACTATAAATCCTCAGTATGGGACTGTGCCTCCCATGATGATTCTCTCTTATTTCCACAAAAAGGTCAACAGAATGTGAAATTAACATAAGTCTCAAGTTCAATTAGTGATGTCATCCTAATTTCGTTAAACTTATTTTATTTTTCTACCTATTTTATACTATAATAGATTTACCCCTGCAAACCTACTAACCTTTACTACTCTCTTAGAGTAAGAAATTCCTACACTGGAGAATATATATTATATAATATATATATTAACCCTATATTGCAAATGACTTCAATGGAATGTATTTCACATTCTTATATTGGAAAAGAAAGGGAAAAAGGAGTGAACTTTTTTCTTTTTGGGTAATTTAAAAAGTAGAACATGAGAATGATCACAGTACTTTCAAAGCGTCCTCCAAATTGTAAGTTTAGAGAAAGAACACTGCTAAGGAATCATTTACGGCATTTACAGAAATAGACAGTGCTCTGGTGAGAAGGAAGTGAACAATGTTGTACAAAACCAAACTGCAAAGGTGAGGAAGGGAAACCAAACTTTACTTTTCAATCACTGCATTTTGGGGATTTAGAGAAGTTTTGAAACAAAGGCTCAGTTGTGAGTCTGTTCCCACGAGACCATCCTACATAATCCAGGACACAGGAATAATGGATGCAGACAAGAGAAAATGTCTGGCTTACGGAGGCAGCTATGCAGAAGAGAATGTTCAGGCTACTGTGGAGATGTGGAATTTGAGGTGCAATTAAGTCAGAACTCTGTTGTTTGACCTCAGCTGCCTTTGTTAGCCAGCAGCTACGAGCTTACGAACATAATTGCGATTAACTATCTGCTCCTGTATTTATTTCCTGAATGCCGATTTATCCTACTTGCATGTCAACTCGACGAAGGCCCGTCTGTCTGTCCCCTGGCATAGTGCCTGGCACAGAGCAAGCACACAGTGAATCTCCCTAATTCACAGCTTCATGTGGTCTAGTGGTTACAAGCTTGGGCTCTGGAGTGGGACAGAGCTAGGTTGAGATCTTAATTCTTCCACGCGGGAGTTATAATGGCTCTGGGCAGGCCTTTGTACTTCCAGGGACTGTTTCCTTACCTGTGAAATGGGACAGTAACAGAACCGACCCCATATGGCTGTTGTGAGGATTAAATGGCAGAGTGGGTAAAAGCGCAGGGCAAGCACACGGGTCGGTTTCCATTACAACAGATGCCTTCAGCCCTTACAGTGCAGTGGGGGTTGGGCTGCTCATCTGCTTCTAGACTTGAATGCTCATTCGGGTCATGTGGGGGAGCTTGTTTCAATGAAGATCTGTACCCTGTCACCAGTCACCAGATTCTGATTTGCTAGGGCTGCAGGGAGGTTCAGAAATTTGCATTTTTAATAGGCATCTGGGAGTAGTTCAGATGCAAGGAATCTTTGGACCACCCTTGAAGAAACAGTGTTTCAGAAAGAGAATCCTCAGTTCCCAGATTTCTGAAGAGATGGACAAACTAACAGTAATACATAATACATGTCTCTTGGGCCCGGATAATGAACGTAAAAGAAGAATTAGGATCTTGGGAGGGAGGAGAGAAAATGAATAGATTTCATTAAAATTCCAGCCTGGAGAGCCAGCAAAATTTATGTTACTCTCATGTTCACCAGTGATGGCACCTCAACACCCAGTCTCTGTCTCCTCAATTCCTTCTAACACTGTCCCCTTAATGCCTGGACTAGGAGAGGAACATCATTTGCTTGCATAAAGAACTCCTGGTGTTTCCTCAAGAGATGCTGAGTTCATGAGAAGCAAAACAGATAGTCATAAAGGGGAGTAAAGATGTCTCTGATTTTAAAAAATCAGTCCCCGTTATGATTATTTTGATGCCGAAGGCCTGGTGTCTTTAAAACTCATGCCTTATTGTCTTAGCTTTCAGATCATATTATTGAAATGTAAATTTGAGAGACTATGGGCTTCCTTTTACCCCCTCCAAGTAAACACTTTTCACATCAAAGTGCTATGGATAAATGATATACACATAAATGCTCCTTATGATTATCTTGGCTTAGCCCAAGGTATTAACCACAGTCCTAGACTTCCCGAGTTTTATTTCCCCAACCGTGTCACAGGTTTCTATTTGCTATTGATTAGTCTAGTACTCCTAATGGTACATTAACCCTTGTAGACAAACTTAAAAGGCTAATTTCTAGCTAGTTCCTTAAGTCCAGCTGGAACTTAGACTTTAAGTTAGATTTCTTTTCAAAAAAGGAAGAAAACAGGAATGGAAAAAAGAGAGATTCACATTCACTTATGAGTGCTTGGAACTCAAGATGCCTGAGGTTAGAATCCCGCTTACCAGGAGGTTCTCTGGCTTGATGTCCCGGTGGACGATGTTCAGGCTATGCAGGTATTTGATGGCGCTGGCCAGGTTGTACAGCATCCCACTGGCGTCTCGCTCAGTGTATTTGTTAGTGGAAGTAATGGCATCAAAGAGGTCTCCTCCCTGAGAACAGAACATTAACAGATGGTCCAATCGAGCCGCCTGGAGAGGGAACTGACATGCTAGGAAGGAGATGAAGAATACGTGCTGGGTCTCTGAGCTCCCTGAGCTTTCCCTGCCACTTCTCTCTCTCAGGGACTCTGTGGTGATTTCTGTCCCCGCTGGGAAAGCCAGTGGCATCTCCTCCAGGGCTCAAAGAAGCAGGGCAAGGACTCTGCCCTCGGACATGCAGTCATTACCGCAGCCCCAGCCCCGGAGGAGAGGGAGAGCCAGGCCTCCAGGGCAGAAGCCTTGTGACAGACACTTGGGTGCCCCGGTGGCATGTGCTACGTGCCTCATATCAAATACCAGCGCAAGTTCAAAGTCATAATTCTAAACCTCCCAAAACGAGAAGCAGGTAATACTGCAGACCACACCCATAACAAAATGTTCTGCTGGCTTGTGAAACTCACACACGCATGCGCGCACACGTGCACCCACACTCAATTCCCTTCACTCTCTAGATTTAGCTCTCTTGGCGTGGGCGTAGTGTTTTCTTTTTCAATAATGTGCTTCTTTGTAAGGAGCAGAGAAAAGGACCAGAAACTGTCATTCTAAAAATGAGAAAGAGAGGAGGAGGGAGGTGGATGAAGAAATTTCAAAGGAAGGTTTCTAGGACCATTATTCATCTGAACTTTTGTTTCCCTCGTTCCTTGCTAACTTATTGTTATTTGGAGAAACAACAGTTTTAGGCTCTAAATTTAGTTCTATTTGAAGCCCTTTCAGAAATTTGGGTCTGATTTACTCACAGCGTTTGCATCATTCTTGCACACGGTGCACCAAATAGCCGAGCACAGGAGCCAACTGTGTTCATCGATGCCTCGTGTGGTTAAGGGATCGCATTTGTGTTTCTAAATAGCAACCGCAGAACCTAGCACTTGCAGGCTGACAATTTTCGAAGGTCACACTCTGGCCTGACCTCTGCCCCCCCCCCCCCCCCCCCCCCCCCCCCCCCCCCCCCCCACTATACAGCCTCAACTCAGGGGGCTTCACCCACGCTCCATTCAGTTCCCAAACGAAACACCACGTACATTTGTGTCAACACGGACACGTTCTCTCGGCCTTCCGTTTCTTTCGAAGGCCAGGCTGTCAGACATGGGTTTACAGGCTGCTTCCGTGCCTCTCCAGGGGCGGGATCTCCACCGCGGTGGTGTGGACAGCACCCGCCGCAGTGGGACCTGTGCGTGGCTGTACACGCCGCCCCGCAAGGACTCCACGCTTCTCCGGTCATCCAGGGAGGCCCCGGGCATCGTGTCTCCCCCCTGCCTCGGCATCCTCAACAGCGCGGTCAGCCAGTGCTTCCTCTAAGGCCCGCTGCGCACACAGCCTCCCGGGCCACCCCGCTGCACCTTCTGGGTGAGGGTGCTTGTCGCATTAGCCCTTGGTTGTCCTGTGGCCTCACAACCTGAGCCGGAGGCTCGTTCAAAACGTCCGGCGAGCTGACGGCTGCCTCCCCACGGGGTACACTGCCTTTCCCTTCTCCCCCCGGGAAGTCAGCGTTTCTCTGCCCGGTGGCTCTCCATGCCCGGTGGCCCTCCATGCCCGGTGGCCGGCTTCATGCCAGCCTGTCCCAGCTCATCTCCTGCCACTAGCCGGCCTGGTTAGTCCACCTTCTGGTCCCGCTAGGAAGTTCTTCCCAGGTCATTAAAACATGTCCCGATCACCCTGCATTCCGAACCTGTCCTCCTTACAACCCCCTTCCTAGGGTGTCCCTTCTTTCTTTTCCTTTTCTTCTTTCTTTCTTTCTTTCTTTCTTTCTTTCTTTCTTTCTTTCTTTCTTTCTTTCTTTTCTTTCTTTTTCTTTCTTGCTTGCTTGCTTTCTTGCTTGCTTTCTTTTTTTGAGAGAAATGGAGAGGATGCATGCAAGAGGGGCAGAGAGAGGGGCAGAGAGAGGGGCAGAGAGAGAATTTTAAGCAGGCTCCATGCCCAGCTTGAAGCCAGACTCGGGGCTCCACCTTACAACCCTGGGATCATGACCTGAGCTGAAATCAAGAGTCGGAGGTTTAACCGACTGAGCCACCTAGCCACCCCCCCGCCTCCGCCCCCCGTCATGTCTCTTCTTGTCTTTGTCTTTCTAACTTTGCTAATCGATTAGCGCCCGGCTTCAGGGTCACCTACCCCCCACCGCCCCACAAGGTCTGCCTTCCTCTGAACACATACACAGTTTGCATGTGCTCACATCTGTAGGCAGAAGTCTAAAGGCCTGTTCTTGTTAATATGAAACTTCACTCATAATAACTGTTACTTTACTGTTTTCCAGAATACAAGCCTTGTTTATCCTATAGCTGCAGCCACTCTTCGGCACACCTGGACATTTAGGGTTTGAGAAGCATGGAGCTAACTACATTACTCGGGGGAAATGTTGTGGGAGCCTTGCAAGTCAAGCCTGGGGTTGGCCTTTATTTCCTGGGATGCTTCCAGACCTGGCCTCACAGCAATTCTGGGTCAGCCTAAATTTAAGGGTATGATCTGGTGGTGCGGTTGAGGAGTCCCGATGCTGGACAATGCAGACCCCCTCTGGCCTTGTTAGGCCATCTTGGTCCTCCAGAGGGAATTCGCAAAAGGCCAAGTGAAGTGAGGACCTCCCAGTGTTACTTAGCTATTATCACCTGACTAAGCAAATGAGTGACAATCAGCCCAGGCTTCCCCACAAAATGTGTTCCAAACTCTTAAGCCTTTGCCTCTTTCACTTCTCGGCTTCAAGTTTAAGTTAGTCTTCATTCTGCAAAAATGAGCCAGTATATGGGGGATAATCAATTTTTAACAGCACACACAAGGCCAGCAGGAATGGTTTAAATTTGTTGCTCTAAAAATTAAAGTCACTGTAAAAATATTATCCTTGGTGCTAGATAAAGTATATTTTACAATATTGGCAATTACCAAACTTTATTTGGTGATAAAGCACCAATATGAAAATCTTCTGAATAACTGAAATCGACCTTTCTTTTCTGAAAGAACAGTTTACCATTTTTGAATCTCCCTCAGCTTCCAATGTGACAATAACCGATGTCACTTCAAACAAGTCCCACCTCTCTGAAAGAAACAAATCCTCACAGGAAGTAGGAAAAAGTAGGCTTCATCTGTGGAGATAAATAACCACTAAGAAATCCCTAAGAAACATTGGGAGGTGCTCACTTCACCTGGCCTTTTGTGAATTCCCCAACAGATCTAAAATAAAGCAGCTCTGAATAACAGAAGTTTAAAGGCTCTTCGAATGAATATTTTTCTATATAGTCACAGCCTATAGTTTATTACATGCTGTCTTTGTCTTAACTCTTTACACAAGGAGACACCACATTCCATGGTGTTGATTTCCGCCGCCAGCTGGGCTGTGGGATTCCAAACAGGGCTGCCGGAGCCCGAGGCTCTCGCTGCTGGGTGCACACAGTTGATGCAGAGGGTGGTGTGACCCATTTATGACGTTTTACAACTGACGTAGAAATCAGTTACACCTTCTATTAGATTAACATAATAGAGAAAACCGTCACTCCATGAAAACTAAACATTAAACTTATAAAAACATTTAGTTACTGAAAATGTTAAATACGGAAGTAGGGGTAACAGGTGAGTCACCTTTCACTTAGATGCAGCAGTTATGAACATATGGCCATTTCTATATTCTATGGTAAATAGAACACAAACGTAATCTTATGTGACAGGACAAGGTTGTAACATTTACCAAAAGGCAGCAGAATGTTCACATTATTATTAAGACTGTGTTGTTTTTCTATTAGGTTGGTGACTAAAATTTAAAGCCTTTTTAAAATATAAGAATGGTTGGTACCTTTGGATGCAGTTCATGAAAAAATGAACAGTTTCTACTAAAAGGATAGCAACAATGAGCATATTGGTATCTACCTAATATTTTCTGTATATTACAAAGTGCATGGTAGAAGCCATCGCTTTTACTTTCACCATAACACTCCTGGTAAATGCAATTATTCTTCTCATGTTACATTTGAGGAAACTGAGGTACAGAGAGGTTTACCCAAGGTCAGAATGCTGTACAGGTCAAGGCTGGGACTTGAATTCTCTCAGTATGATTCTAGTGTTAATACTCTTCACCATTATGCCAATGCATAGAAATGAGAGACGGATGAATGAGATCAATGAGATCATTGATCAATGAGAATTGATGGAAAGGAATGAAGGAGAGAGCTCTATCTATCTTATAGAAAAGCATGGTGCCCCGCGGAAGTTTATTCTTTTTCTAAGCTACACACCTTTACTAATTCCATGACAAGATACAGTTCTGTTGGCACATCCATCTCTTCGATCAGAAGAACAATATTGGGATGCTTCACTCTTCTTAAAATAGATACCTCGTTCTGGATCATGTGCTCCTGTGCAAGGGAAAAGTTACCTTAATCAATATACACGTCAAAACATATGAGGAGCTAACTCAGATGAGTAAAGCTAAACTATTTGAGGTCACAGGAGATGCATTTTGGTAAAATATAATGAATATATCTTAGATTCTGATATTCAGATAGCCTCGAATCGCCAAAAGCTGTTGAAGGTCTTCAGATGATGCCTGTAATTTCAGAACCTATCAGGATAACTATAATTTGCATAGAGAAGGATGGAATGACACTTAGATCACAAAAGTAAATGAAGCAAGTAAACAATGATAAGAGAAATAACATACAATCCTTCCAATCAGCTTTTATTCCAAGAATATTTATAAAGTTATATTCCAATAAATATACATAATATTATTCCACCAAAATGCAACCCCTAGGGTGAACTTATGTTTATTTGGGAACTGATTTTTGCATTTCTACCCCCCAAAACAATATATTTTCATAATAATAAACCTTATACATACTTTGCCTCGACATTTGCTTTTCTTGATAATTTTCAGAGCATACTCCCTAGCAGTTGACCTGCAAAGAGAAAGAATTTGTAAAAAAAAAAAAAAAAAAAAAAAAAGAAAGAAAGAAAAGAAACTTAACTTCAAATCTATTGAGTCATTTTGTTAAGGATTCATTTCTTACCCCATAGATCTTGCATCAAATGGGTGTAAATGTTTTGTAAAAAACAAAACCAAAAAACCTGAAACCTCTTTTTTCCTTTTTTCAAAGAAATATGTAAACCTTAAGGGGTTGACCAAGGGTAAGGACAGCCAACATGATAGTAGAGAAATGTCTTGAGCTGTTAGTGTTACCATACTTGTAATAAAACCACCATCATTGCCATTGCCATGAGTAACTCGTCCCCCTGGGTTGCCCAGCCCTGCACTGCTCTGCCCTCTGAAGTCATGTTGTCGGCACCTAAAGTAGATGTGAGTTTCTGCCCTTCTTCTCAAACTCTCTTGAGGTTCTGTTTCCACGAAGTGTGGCTGTGACATTTTCTGAATGTCTCTCATAATCTCACTGAAATCTCTCAGTACACAGTTCCCACTCTTTAGACTTCAGTTCAGTGTGCAAGTCTATGGGTTCTGTTGGGGAACGCATGGATGATGTGTTCAAGGGGTACAGAAAGGGATATGACCATTATCTGAGCTTCATGTGTCTTCTGGGGCCTTTTCTGGCAGTGTCATGTCAGAGAAATAAGATAGAGGTGACAATTCAGTTAGATTCATCATCCAAAGCCACAAGGCAGCACTAAAATCAGGATTCTTGAGTTCTTGAGGACTCTGCTTCACACACAGCCCAGCCAACACTGCCCCCCTCCACCCCGCCATGATGGGTGTGGGAGGGAGGGTTTAGTCACATAGCTACCTTTAAATAGCTTCCTAACTGGCGTTAACATTTCTAAGATACTCTAGTGCCAAAAAAAAATGACCTCTCTATTGTCGAAGGACACAATGTATACTTAATAAGGCTAAGAAACCACTATTTTACAAGCATTCCCATTTCATGTCTGGTGGGAAACCACAACAGCTTGGCTCTTTCCCTACAGATAAAAGCTAACTTTAGGAATCCAAATGAAATACAGTGGGAGTCGGGCTGATTAAGGACAAAAATTTAAAATAGAGTTTTAAGACTTTCAGTATGGAGACACAAAGCGGGATCTCCTGGTTATGTGTTCAGAGCAGGAGTGATGTGCCGATAAATGAAGAGGCCAGATATTAGCAGTGTGTCTCAAGGGCATTTTAGACATCATTCATGTCATTTGTCACCGCTTCTCCCATTGTACTTCCAGGTCTCTGCATGGATAAATGAGAAAGTGAAGTTAAACATATACAAGGGGATTCCTCACATTACGGAAGGATCAAGGGATGCCTTTAGAGGCTTCCGAAGGGTTTGTTTGCAAATGTGAAAACCCTCAATCAAGAGGAAAATTAAAAGCTGAAGTGTTTCTGGACTCTGCTTTTCACAAATCACTAAAAATCTATAATAAAACAAATCTGCGCTTCGAATCCATGAGCAATTTCCTATCTGGTTTAAAATGTTTTATTCAATGACAGAGGAATCTGGACTCTCAGGCTGACCACTGTGATAAAAGCCGGCGGTCCCAGGGAGGACCAGGGAGCTGGGATGGAGGTCACGTTTCATTCTGTGCCTCCGTAAAGGGGCTGGATGACAGGACAGTGCTGGTGAGAAGAGAGGGAGGCTTTTTAGTCTTGTCATTCCCCGTGTTTGCCATTTGATCTTCTGTTTCTCTGGAATGATTAAGATTACAGGACTCGGGAAAGCGCTGGTGTAGGACAAGGAAGGCTGAATCCCCTCTACAGGAGAACAAGGAACAGCATCTCCAAGGAGCAAGTGGGTGTATCGGCTCCCAGGACACCAAGCAAATCAAGATACGTCCCGAGCCTAGGGCTGAAAGGAAAATGCCAGCAAGCCTGGGTTGCTGTGGCCCCAGGGCTTTACAAGGAAAAGGGACTTCATGAGTTCAGTACCCAGAGCCTTACATAACACGATTCAACACTTAGTTACATTTACCCACCAAAATTAATACTCCAAGTTTTCTTTCTTGATTCCTTGAGGACAGAACTATAAAGTCATAATAAAATCCTTAATTATTGGAAGTATATGTTTATAGGAAAGCAGCTGAGTCTGGAAAATTAGCCTGAAAACAGGTGTTAGTACTAAACGTATACTCTAAGAATAAAAATTTAACTGCTTGCTTTAAGTTGGTAAATGAAAACACTTGGCAAGAAACAATACCTTAAATAAAGTATTTGTCTTCCTGCACACCCTAACCGAGAGGACCGCTGTGCCCCTGTAATTACTCAGCAAGTGGTTACAAGCATGGTTCTTTGGGGGGTCCTGGGTGGCTCAGTCGGTTGGGCATCTGACTTTGGTTCAGGTCACGATCTCACGGTTGATGGGTTCGAGCCCCGCGTCAGGCTCTGTGCTGACAGCTCGGTGCCCAGAGCCTGCTTCAGATTCTGTGTCTCCCTCTCTCTCTGCCTCTCCCCTGCTTGCATTCTGTCTCTCAAAAATAAATAAAAAATAACACGCTTGGTTCTTTCGTAGCCACAGAGGTGAGCAAAACTTGGTCCCTGGCCCCAAGGACAGGAATCTACAGTGTGTTATAGTGAGGACACTAGACACAGGGATTGCTGGTGAAGCCACAGGCCATTTGCTTGTTTGTTCCTGAAATTACCTTCTTGACCTCACACAGAATCAGGGAGCTCGTAAATGTCACATGTCACAGCAAAGGCAGCAGCAGCAGCAGGACAGATTTTGTTTGCTTCCTCATATACGGGAACTCAATGTGTAAGGTCCCTTCCTGTTAACTTTGACCCAAGGTCAGAGACTGAACTATTAAGAGAGAAATTTCCAAATTTTACAAACTTCAACTAAAGCTAATTTTTTGTTTGTGCTAAAAAACAATGGTTTGGAGAAAAGCTGTCCCGTTTAGACTTTGTGACTCTCAACCCAATGCCAGCCTGCTCCCCGCCATTCTCTCCAAGGCAGCTGAGTGCTTAGTAATTGGGGTGTCTTGGACTAATGTGCTTTCTGTTGTTGCTGTTATGGGGGATTTGCTAGGTTTTCAGGGTATTAAAAAAGATTACGTGGAAAAGGAAAAAGAGCTTCCCGGGCATTCTCACCATAGCATTTGATGAATTTCACGGCAGTCTTTTGATTGTGGGTCATGTTCTCAAGTAGAGGGACTGGCATCTTGTCTCTCTCTGTAGACCCAGATGTGCCCACTGTAGACCTGAACTAGCAGAGGCTCCAAGCATGTTGGATTAGGTGCGGGGATTCCAGAGGGTGGTGGCAATTAGGAACCCCCAACAAAGAGGGGTTCGTCAACAGAGCCCTTTGTTTACCTCGTAATCATAATAAAGCCCATCTCAGCCACCTCCTACTGGGGTAATTGCGGAGAGTGGTGATGCACCAGAGGGTCTCATCTCACATCTCTGGAGTAGAGTTTGATCCTGAACTTGAGCGCAAGCCCCATGGCTATTAGCTGCCAAGCATCCTTGGAAAGAAAAGAATGAAGCATGCTGCCAGCTAGCTGGGAAGTAGCTAAGCTTCTCCATTCAGACTCATCCTCCAAATTGTACTTCAGAAGGAAATGTCTTCAAACTAAAGGTACAAGGTTTTGGAGGTTCTTGAGAATTCTGAAGACAGAATTTCTAGGTAGATACAACCCATTGTTGTGACACTGAAGCCTCAGCATGTTTGGATGGGTTTGAACCCACTTATACTCACTGCCGAAGACAATGGTTTCATTGTAGTTTCTCAGGTTTATAAGGGAAGGAGGGAGAGAGGGAGTCACGAGCAGCTAGAATTTTAATGCAATTCTAATGCCTGCCGTGCTAAAAAATGCAAGCATTGCAGGTAGACAGGAGGGCCAAAGGCCACCTGAGACACTGTCACTGCTCTTAACTGCACCACTTGTACCCTTGGCTTGTATGGTGACTAGTCCATGAAGAGCCAGGAAAGCCAAAGATGATGGGCCCCTCATTGAGAACCCACTACTCATGCTTTGACCGTTCTGCACTGCTTTTCAGCTTTCTGAGCTTCTTTGCGACCTCAAGTGCTCTATAAAACAGCTTAAGAACAGAACACATCTCAGTTCCCCAACTTCCTGTAGTGCGTCCTAGGCTCCAGGGCCACTGGAGAAACTGGGAAGTAGGCAGAGATCTAGGCGGGTCTGGCACTTACTACCAAAGGATATGCTGACTCGGGACCATGGAACAAAAAGCCTACAGAACACTGTTATCATATCCATTGTTGTAGGTACACCTTCCCTGTGACAGCATATTATTAACAGAGGAGGGACACACTTGCTTTTGTTAGCCTATATGTATCCTTCAAAATAAGGCAGAATGTACCTGCAAGCAATGTGTGCCATTCACAACATTCTTAGCTCACTTTTATTTTCTTGGACCTCTGGAAAATATTAAAAGAATGTTTCGTGACGCCTCAGGGGAGAGAGGGTACATGCCATATGTCGTCATTCAGCAGGAGCAGAATATTAACACTATTTGGAGCAATCTGGTGTTTAGACTGTGAAGGTTCATACGATGAGACCCAAGATGTGAACTCACGCACAATGAACACAAGCCAAACTAGAAAGAAAGAAAGAAAGAAAGAAAGAAAGAAAGAAAGAAAGAAAGAAAGAAAGAAAGGAAGGAAGGAAGGAAGGAAGGAAGGAAGGAAGGAAGGAAGGAA